AAAATTTTGAATCATTAAATAATTATTATTACATCTAAAAAAATTTATTATTAAATTTAACATAAAAGATTAAAGAAGATAAAAATTAAAAATTTTTATTTAATTAAGAAAGACAGTGAAAAATATTTTTGAACGGTAGGACATATTTGAAAAAAATTTTAATAATGCATTGTGTTCTTTCTTTTCCATTTCTCGTCCATTTGAGATTTTCTTAGCTATATGTATTACAATTTGATCATCCTTGGTTACTATATTAAGTCGTTTAGTACACTTTTTTAAAGTCACTCGAATGTCTCGTTTCTCAAATCCACTTTATATTCTTTTTATTTTTTAAAGTGAATTATCTTTGTAAAAACTACGGTACACGTTATCGAAAAATTTGTCTATTTAAATATAAATATTGTACAAATTTTTATGTATAGTACTTAGATAGAAGCTAAGAGAATCGGGCATCATCGGAACACCTGGTAATTTAGTGCGAGTCGACTTTACTAATATAAAAAGAAATTGTTGTAAGTAGAATATAAAGTGCAAAGCGCCTTTTACGGCGTAAAATCACGAAGGAAACTTATGAGCTCGCACGTAATAAATTTATCTCCTTCGCATTCGTGCGGTGGTATTTTTAACAGCAACATTTTTGCGTTTAGCGTGTTTACCTGTATTGTCGTACTAGAATTACAGCGGCAATTTCGATGTTTCATCTGACGCGACGACGATCGTCTTCGAGAAAAGCCTCGAGGAAGAAAAGCAGCGAGCGGCGAAACTCCACATGTGACGTTCAACTTGGATGACAATACCGTGCGATATCATATATACAGCCAATATTATGTATCTTGTAAATACGATATTTTTACCTTGAGTTACTTAAGAGCGTACGTGACGAGACTACTCGAGAGTGCGATGCAACGTCTTCTTTGTATGCAACGTCTTTTTGTGTGCCATTGCGCGTCACATCATCGCGTCACGATTAATTCCGCGGCAATCACGGGATCGGTCGACTGATCAATTGATAGGAATACTCGGGATGACAGCTGACTCGAGATGATGATTCCGGGACGAGATGTCCGGAGAAATCACGCTGCGTAAAGTAAGTCGCGTTATCTTGCATTGACAAGGGAATTTCACGAACCTGGAAATTCACGTACCTTCGGATTTTATTAAAATTTTGAATATATTATGTAGATAAAAATTAGATGAATTTGGAAATTTTTCTGTTAAAAAACAGGGGTAAAATGATCTTCTCTATACAAAGCAATACATCTAAAATTATTTGAGATATAAAAAAATAAACAGATTCGCTACTTATTGTAATTTATTCATTTGTAAAAATTATAATAATTACAAATTTATTTTAAAAATTATATTTAAAGTCAAAATATGTTTATTTTATGATAATATAATACGATTCTGTGGGGATTTGTTTTCGATGAAGAAAAAGTGTTCTTCAGAAAAATGAAGATAGATGTTTAATGAGACTAAACAGCTAAACCTTCTCTCTTGACTCTTGACTCTCTTACTCTACTCTCTGTTTTCTGTATTACTGCGCGCACCAGCGCCATGGCGGCACCACAGCACTGTCATCATCTACATGCTTCCCACAGTTCAGCCATCCTGAATGGTCATCCGCCCCGGATGATATCTCTTCGCTAGGATCCAACGTGACCCATCATTTTAAATACTCAGCACAGGTAAAGATTTTTAGCGATCCCTCGCAATTCCTATTTTTATGACATTATAATATCATTAGGCTTTACCTTGGTGATACGATAAGAGCTCAGATACTTGGATTTTAATTTTAATCCAGGTCGCGCTTACACTTGATGGCTACGAAGCCATAAGATGATACTTATGAGGATCTCTACGTCGTAGATTATAGTATTTCTTGTTTTTATCCTAAACCTTTTTGATTTGCCTCTTAGCATCATCTCTTGTCTCCTGATGGTATTTTAATAGTGAGTTAACTCCTGTTCAATTACTTCCTTTATAGCGAGATCTTCCTTGGATTTCATCCTAGTTCTTCTTTTTGAATTTATCAATACTGCGTTGATATGTGGAATTCAAGACTTGTTGCAGTCTTGCGACATGTCTGTACCACTTAGTGGATTCATCTATTGACATCTTTGCAAGTACTGGGATGATCATCCTATTAATTCGTTCAATTTGTCCGTTGGATCTAAATAAGCCCATCGTAACTTTGATGTATTCAATGTCTTTCTAGTAGCAGTAGTTCTCAAATTCAACAGAAATGAAGGCGGTGTCTGTCAGAAATAATTCGAGTTAGGTTATTGAAAACATTCTTCTGAAAAAGTTCCAGCTTCTCAATAGATTTCTTAGATGTTATTGTTTTAGTAAGATATAATCATACGAACTTCGTAAAAACATCTATAACCGCCAAAATGTGCTTGTAGTTTTTATAAATCGTCTCTAGCGATCCTAGATGATTTAAATGATAGGTGTGCAGCGGTACATCGTCGCTTAGAACTAGCTCTTCAATTAAACATTATGTCAATCTTTTAAATGCCTCTCTTTCATCGAAAAAGTTGCTTCTTCTTCAGGTCTATTAACGGTTTAGTAATCCTGGAATAGTGTAGGTTGAATTTCCAGAAGTAGCCAGTTAAACCAAGGAAATATAATGTAGAATCCGATAATGCTGGTGAGCCTATCTTCTCGTAAGCTTTGATTTTATGATATTAAATTGGCTGTCGATATCTATTGGAGTGTTAAACTTGTTGCCCTTAATTTCTACAATCTTATACATGCCTTTAAAGACGCTAAGACTATGGATTCAACTTTCTTCGTGTCTTCTTTGAATTTGATCTTTCTTTGACTTCTTTAATGTTTTTTTCTTACAATCGAGCGATTTATGCCCGTATTTGTTGCATCTAAAACATTTGCTTTTGTTATCGCACGTTGTTGATTTGCCATTTCCAAATTTATTTCTTATCGTCATATTTGTAGTCTAACTGCTTATCATCTTCATCTTCATTATTTGCTTCGTCTTCATTATTGTTAACCTTCTTCTTCGTTAAGAACCGTCATTATTGTCATCATCCTTTACAGTGTCTTCTTCGGCATCTCTCCTCTCATCGTTCGCATTGTCAAGCGAGTTAGTCATCAAATAATCGCAGATTTGTTAGTCTTGCTCTTTCTTTGTGCCTGCATAGTCGATCGCCAAAATGTTACAGATTGACACTAAATCTTTCCAAGATGTGTACGTTAGCTTATTCTTATATTTTTCCGATCCACTAGCAAATGCAAAATCGCCAAATCCGAAGGCGTTTACGATTAGCGCGATCTCCTTCTCATTCGAAAACCAATCTATAGCAGCGCTTTTACAGCCTTTGTGAAACCTGTCTTAAAATTATTGGCTATTACCTTTATTTGTTCAAGCCTCTCCATTATCTTAATAGTCTTTGTCATCTTTACCTTGGAAAAAGCTTTTACCTTTGCCAATCTAATCTCAATATCTTCCAGAAGTTTTCGTAGATACAGTGGCACAATCAGCTCTTTTTTCTTTTTCGCATTTCATGTTTCGCGTTTCACAGTTTTTCATGTTTCGCATTTCACAGTTGGCAGTCTTTTTCTCTTATGCGACTTTCATAGACAGAGACGGCAGAGATTTAAAGAGAGACGCTTACAAAAATGAGCACACCATGTTATCCTTTCCACCATGATTACTACGCTCGCCAGCGCCATCCGATACCGCAGCATTGTCGCTATCTACATGCATTCTCACAATAGTTATTTTTCATAATATGAGAAGCGTGAATAAGCTTTTATAAATGAATACCTTTTTAATATTATTATGTTTTATTATGGTACAGTTAAATAGAAATGCTTTTATATTATAAAACTTATATGAATCATATTTTATATCTTAAATAATTTTGAGGATTATAAAAAAAAAACAGAAAAAAGAAAAACTCACTCTACGTAAAGATTTTATTATGAATCGGCATTAATTAAAAATTTGCAAATTAAATATATATTTTATATGTAAAGATTTATTAAAATTAGAATTTCTTAGTTTGTGAGATTTTCTTGAGAGAAGCTTAAATAAAACAAATTTGTAAACTTTCAATTATGAATAAAATGCGCCAAATTTTTTTATTATTTCTTTATCACAATTTATGTTATTGAATGACATTTTATGTTATTGAATATCTGATTGTCAGTATGACTAGAAATCTCGACGGGATAATCTTGATGATTGTTTAATTATATAAAAAAGCAACAATTTACGATTCGTTACATCCCGGCATGTATAATAATACACTATTAAATGCAAATGTATATTGGAAGTATACAATGGAAATGTAACGATGTTTACGAATAACAACTGGGATAAAATCTTAATACAAATTATAAAAAATTACAAATGCGCTGATTTTATTGGATTCTTTATTATTTATTTTATTAATCAAATTATATATTTTATTAGTTATTTTTTATATTAATATAATTTTTCTATCATTCTCTTTTTATATTTTAATGAATAAATCCATTATAGTCTGCGAATTTTTAATCTTTTAAAGCAAAATTAATATAAAGTATCAAACACTTTTTTATTCTGCAAAGATATCTTGTGAATCTTATTCTATCAACAAAATTAACAATAAATAGAAAACAAAAAAAGGATTTTGGATGTTTCACTTGAAGAATATCTTAATTTGGGATGTAACGGGTCAATATTAAGATACGAGATATATCGAATTATATTTTTGATTAAAATATGAAGAATATTCGATATTGCTCGTCGCTGCGTCTCCGATGGATAAAGATAGAATAATTGTGAACTAAATATGTGTAAAACGAGAACTGCGTTGCGAAATGTATGCTCGAATACGTGTTTATTTCAATGTGTACGCGTGTATGTGCGTGCGTGCGTGCGTGCGTGCGTGCGTGCGTGCGTGCGTGCGTGCGTGTGTGCGTGCGTGCGTGCGTGCGTGCGTGTGTGTGTGTGTGTGTGTGTGTGTGTGTATTTTATGTATATGGAAAAATTAAGGGCGAAAAAGGAAGTGAGCACAAGAATGTATGAAAAAGAAAGAAAGAACAAGATCGCGCGCGCGCAAAATAATGTGATAATACGTATGTCAAAATTGAAACCCGATTTTTCGAAACGGTGCTTTTTCTATCTTATAAATAATTGTACAATATATTGTATACACAACAATAGCACAACGGACTCGGCGCGTTGTATAGGATTGTTTAATGATATTACGAGGAGATATTTGAATACTACGTTATAGTAAATGTGGCAATGTCGAGCTAGTTACTTAGTGGAGCACTTTTTTAGGGGTATATGGGATATTTCTAATATGTTTAAGCAGCGGTCGTTCCTTAAAGGAAATTCTGCGATTAAGTTTCCTCGAACGGGATCCTATTGATGATATTGAATTACTTGCGGATTTGAGTTCTAAATTTCGTAAAATAAATACATGTTGCGAGTATGTTGTCCCTTTTTCTCAAATTTCAGACTTAGATTATCGATTATACGTAATTAAATAAGTCTGTCCTTTTCTTTGATTAAAAAAAATTTGAAAAAATTTTGATTAAATTACATTTATAAACTATATTCTAAAAATAACATAAGGGGCTTATTATATACGAAGTAAGGAAACATCGACTTTTGGAAATGCTTATGGACGATCACTATCATACGTTGAGTACTTAAATGCTTAGGAGTGATATATAATTTCTGTACACTCTATGTTCGTCTTTTTCATCATCGTTCATTTAGCAGCTTCAGAAAGTGATAGTAATTATTAGAGTACAGAAAGAATCGATGATGATTAAATAAGTTAGTTTTTGGATGGAATAATATTATAAATGAATTCTTTCATATTTCAGAAACATAAAAAGAATATATAGAAATATCTAATAATATAATTATTTTATTAAAAAGTAGCTTATACTTCTCTATCTAAAGATGAAATACAAAATTTTATGTTGTTGATTCCAAAGTAATTATTAAAATGTGAAAACGTTGACGAAATTTTCCTTTTAATTTATACTTTATTTATATATTTGGATTGTATTTTATATTATAATTATGTAACATAATGTTTTTATATTTCTGCATGGAGAAGAGCTTAATATATTTTATGTTGACTTTAATATTTATTTAAAAAATTAGTAAAAGGACTTCGATTTTTTAATGATTTTTCACTATTCCATCCAAGAACTGAAACACGAAAGTAAAACGAGTTCCTGTCGATATATTCTTAGTATCTCAGCTGGATCCTTC